TTTTCGATTCTCCTTTGCCAATGGTTCATGTTCCTCGATTTAACTTCTTTTTTAAAAAATTTTTTTAAAGATTTTATTTATTCATCTGAGAGACAGAGAGAGCACAAGCAAGGGGAGAGGCAGAGGAAGAAGGAAAAGTAGACGCCCTGCCAAGCCAGGAGCCTGACAGGGGGCTTGATCCCTGGCCCTGGAGATCATGACCTGAGCAGAAGGCAGACACCCAACCATCTGAGCCACCCAGGTGCCCCTCAACTTAACTTCTAAAAGCTGGCTTAACTCCAGAGCTTTCACCTAGGCTCCGTTCTTGTGTATGGTATGGCAGGAAATGCTACCTGGCCCACAGAACTCATTTTCCTCTTTCTAGCAAGAGGGCTGTAGCCTAGTAGCTAGTTACTAGCTGGCTAATTACTCTAATTTCCCAGAAGCTTTTGCAGTTATATATGACCATATGACTAACTTCTCACCAATAGAAGATGAATAGAAATGATTATGTGCCACTTTCTGGCTAAAGCTTCCCTTTCCTCCTTACCATGGGTCAAAGGACTGAGGACAGACAGAAAGGGCTATGACCCAGTTTTGACAAAACAGACCATACTCTAAGGGAAAGAGGTGTAACAAGATGGGAGGAAAGTGATCCCCTGAATGATTGTGAAGCAAAGCCACCCAATGAACTTGGACCGTTACACTCAAGAGAGTAATAAAAAAATCTATCTTGTTTGAGCCATTACACTTCGGTGTATCTTTGTTACAACAGCCTTAGCCTTTCAACATAACTAATTCACACATTTTATGTATTCTCTAGGTGATCTGATCTAGTCCCATGTCATTAATCATCAGTTATGCATAATATTTTTTCTTTTTAAAAGATTTTATTTATATATTTGACAGAGAGAGAGAGAGACCACAAGCAGGGGGAGCGGCAGGCAGAGGGTGAGGGAGAAGCAGGCTGCCTGCTGAGCAAGGAGCCTGATGCAGGGCTCAATCCCAGAATCCCGGGATCATGACCTGAGCCTAAGGCAGCAGCTTAACCCATTGAGCCACCCAGGCGCCCTTGCAAAATATTTTTAAAGCCAGAACCAGATCTCACATTCCGACCTCTTTCCAGAACTACAGACTCATACATCCCACTGCCTCCTCAATGTATCCACATGGATGTGTTATCACAAACTCACAATTGCCAAAAGACAGTTTTTAATTTTTCCTGCTCCAAGCTCTAAGCCCAAAGCTTTCCCAGGTTTTCTTCACTCCAATCACTTATTCAAGTTATGCTATTTCTATCTCCAAAACATATCCCATACCCAGTAAGTTCCAGCCTTCTTCAGGTTCCTTAAACACACCCAGCTATTGCTGCCTCAGGACATTGGTACTTCTAGTTCTTTCTGGCTAAAATGCAGTTCCTTTGATCTTTTGTGAGGCTGGCTCTCTCCCCTCATTCAGATCTCAAACTAAATACCATCTTCTCAGACAAGCCTTCCCTTATTATCTGAACAAATATTATCATCCTGTGATCTAATCCCACATCAGTTTAAATTCCCTGCTCAGCACTTTTTACTAGTGGATATTTTTTCTTGTTTTTATTCACTTATTCAACAAATATTTACTAAATTCCTAACTATACCCAGGCACTGACCTAGACATGGGGATACAGCTGTGAACAAAATCAGCTTCCATCTTAATAAAATACAGAGAAAAGTAGATGGTGATAAATGCTGTAGAGAAAGTAGGCAAGATAGGAGTGCAGGGGCTAGGGACTGCAATGTTAAACCTAAGATGAACAGAGAAAGCCTCACCAAGATGCCAAATGATCAAAAACCTGAAGAAAATGAGAGAGCAAAATAGTGGGTGTCTGTGGGAAGAGGTTTCCAGGCAGAGAGAAAAAATAAGTGCAAAGGCCCTGAGGCGGGAATGTATTTGACAACAAAGAGGCTAATATAAATGGAACAGTGATGGAAAAGGAGAGGAGGAGATGAACACAGAGAGGAAATGGGAACTAGATTAGGGAGGGCCATGTATAGGAAGTTACTGGAGGAATTTGAACAGAGATGTGGCGTAACGCATTTTGAAAATATACCATAGGGGTCAAGGATGGAAGAAGGGAAACCAAATTGAAGCCTACAGCAACATCACTCTGCTTTTCCTATTTCCCTTTTGTCTTTAAAGATTTTATTTATTTATTTGACAGAGCGAGCGGGTAAACAAGCAAGCACTGCGGGGGGGTGGGGGGAAGAGCAGAAGGAAAGGGAGAGAGAGAATCCCAAGCAGGCTCCACGCTCAGTGCGGAGCTCAATGCAGGGCTCAATCTCACGACCCTGAGATCATGACCTGAGTCAAAATCAAGAGTCGGACACTCAACCGACTGAGCCACCCAGGCGCCCTTGCTTCCTCTACTTTCATAAAACCAGCTTCCTCTTAACATTTAAGCTGAGATTTGAATGACATCCTCTCAGAGGACTTCCTTAACTGTCCAATCTAAACAGAGATGACCACCTAGACCAGGGAGTTAATAGTCAGGGATGGCGAGAAAAGGCTGAATTCGGTTACATTCTGGGGTAGGCTTAGCAGATTTGCTAATGTAGATATAGAGTAGGAGAGAAAGAGAGGTTCAAGAAGGTACTAAAGTTTTAGCCTGAGCAATTAAAAGACCAGAAATGCAATTTACTGAGGTGACAAAAAATCTGGAGTTAAATTTTAGATATAGTTAGTAAAAGATCCATCTGTTAGTCTATTATTTCTATTAATAGATACAACTATATCTATTAGGTAGAGGTATAAAGTGGACCAACAGTTGGATGTATATACCATTCCTAATTCAGGGGAGAGAATTCAAGCTGGAGATGTAAATTCAGGAGTCATCAGCATATAGGTGGTATTTAAAAATGGTATTTAAAGACTGGATGGGATCCCTAAACAGAAGCATCTCCAGCTTCTACTCTTGCCACATTCAGTCTGCAAAAAGCATCTACAATGATCTTTTTATAACATAAGATCAAATCATTCCTCTTTAAAAATTTTTAAGGGGCACCTGGGTAGCTCAGTGGGTTAAGGGTCTGACTCTTGATTTCAGCTCAGGTCATGATCTCAGGGTCATGAGATCCAGCCCCGAAGCGGATGTAGCCTGCTTAAGATTCTCTCCCTCTCCCCTGCCCCTCTTGTGCTCTCTTTCAAAAAAAAAAAATTTTTTTTTTAAAATAGTGTCCCTGCATTTGGAATAAAACCTATGGCCTACAAAGCTCTGAATCTTGTCTACCTCTCTAAGCCCAAATCACAGTGGCCTTCCGTCCTTCCTTGAAGGGCATCAAACTCTTTCTTGACTCACCACCTTTGAACATGCTCCTCCCTAGCCTCTGTTACCTCCTACTGATTCCTCAGCTCTAAGTGTCAAGGTCACCTGCTGAGGCTTTTCTCTAACATCAAACCAAAATATGCTTCTCCTCTCACCTTATCTGTGTTATAACATGTTACCAATTTGTAAATACACACAGGTACTGAAAGAGATTTATTGTCTGTCTGCCCCAGCAGACAATAAGCTCCATAGGTGCAGGGACTTAGTCTTGTTCAGTGCTTAATAATGAGGGCCTAACACAGTGCCTGCCAAGCAGCAGACATTCAATAGTATTTGTTGAACAGAGACAACGGTCTATTACGCAACATGCAATCTGCCTCATTATACATAGAATGCTTTCTTTCCCCTTAAAAAAAACAAAAACAAAGGGGCGCCTGGGTGGCTCAGATGGTTAGGCGTCTGCCTTCGGCTCAGGTCATGATCCCAGGGACCTGGGATCGAGTCCCGCATCGGGCTCCTTGTTCAGCGGGAAGCCTGCTTCTCCCTCTGCCTCTCTCTCTGTCTCTTATGAATAAATAAAATCTTTAAAAACAAAAACAAAAACAAAAACACAAAACCTACTTTAACACTGTCAAACAACTTAGAGCTATAAACTACACCAAGATACCTTACCAACAAAGCTTCCTTGTACCATTTTACAGGTTTCCTTCATTCAGCAGTGCTTTCATTCATTCATCACAGTTTCATTCACTCACCCCATGACATCAGTTACTAAAACTCTACTTGTACTTAAAAGGAATTCTTGAATTCATATCTGAATGGGGCCTTTAGGAATCATCTAATTCTCGGTTGAAAGAGGAGAAAAAAGTGGGTTAACGCTTTTCTGTCCCAGGTGACAGAAAGTAGCAGAGCAGTCATGTGAACCCAAGTCCCTGATACGGTTTGGTGTTTTTTTTTTTTTTTCTCTTGTACCTTTTCTCTTAAATAACAAGAATTGAAAGAACCACCATCATCCAAAAAGACCTCCACTTGTTCATTTTGGATATGTATTTTGAATGCAACACAACAACTTTATCCAGGATCAAAATTAAGCTGCCTCTACTTAAAAACTGGGCAGCTATTACAACTGAAAATCAGAAATACAAGGAGTTTACAAAGTGAGCGTTCCAATAGTTAGTCCACTTGCTAAGTCATCAAAAGAAATAATCTTCATTAGGGAACTTTTAGCAATAAGTAATGTTATTTTAGGAACTGCAGGATTCCCCCTCCCCACACCCCCCAGAAAAGGGAAACTAGAAAATAGCACCAGTTGAAGAAAACAGCTTTTTCACATGTTGCTTTTAGACATAAAACCCTCAATATTCAGAAAAGTCAGAGACTTCCGTAACACGGTACTAAAAGAATTTCTTTTCTGGATCCGCCGTTTAGACACGCACGCACACAAACGCGAAAACTGTTTCTGCGCAAACGGGCATTAACTTGTACGGGCTTCGGCAAATACTTTTGGACCAGCGAGACGATTCCCCTCTGACCTCGCGCGAGGAGACCACCTTCTCCCTCCCTGCAGAGTCCCGGAGCAAAGCAAGGCACGCAGGGGGGGGTCTGCGCGGAGGCCGAGGGCCTCGCCGCCACCCGGGAGGAAGCCCGTGCAGGCCCACCTGCCCCACCGCCGCCCCTGAGGCCCGGCCTGACTCCCCGCCGGAGCCCCGTCTGCTACCTTTCCGCCGGAAGAAGGACATGGCGGGGCCCGGGTCGGGGCGGAGGGCGCGGGGGGACTGTCGCGGGGAGGGCCCGGCTCCCCTCATTCAGCAACCGGCCCGGACTTCCGGGTCCGCAGCGGCCGCCGCACTAGCCTGAAAAGAGACCCTTCTTCCGGGTGTGGGCCCCACCGCCTCCTCGAGAAGCCCAGGCAGCTCCTGCCGCCATATTATCAACAAGCCGCCCGCCCGGAGTTCCGGTCCTTCCCCGCGCGAGGCTTCACGGGAGGCCGCGCCGCCGGCCCCGCCCCCATCCCCGCCTCCTCTCGTGGGTGCGGGGGCTCGCGCCCGGCCCGCCCACGTGACCCTGCGCGCGTGCGTCTTGTGCCCTTTCGCGTCGCTGGCCCGGGTGGAGAGATGCCGCGCGAGAGTGACCGTCCCGGAGCCGGAGCGCCCCCCCAACCCCCCGACCTTGGAGCTGTATGGCGCGGTGTCTCAGGTTTGGGGCGGCCGGCCGTGGGCACTCACAGCGTGCCCTTGTACACAAGGCGAGGCCCGCACTGCCACGCTCCGGCTTAGCCGCTTCTGTTTCTCCGTTCCAGTTAGCTGACCGGCCAGAGCAGCTTCCCCCTGCACCGCCGGGCCTGCTCTCCCAGGCGAGCAGAGCCCCCCACCCCGCCCCGGGTCGCGCGGGTACCAGGAGGTCACGATGCCTCGAAGAGGGAAGAGGAGACATAACCTGCTTTATGCGGCTCCACTGGCTTCTCAATCACAGTGACCTCGGCAATAAAAAGGAGAAGTGGGCTGATTTTCAGAACCAAATCCCTGCACCAGTGCTCAAGGTTGAAAGGGACGGTAAAATAAAAGCATCGCCAGTAATTACAAGGCAAACTCGTGAACGATCCTTCAAGCTTTGTTCAACTGCCTTTTCCCCAGTAACTCTGGCCCTCCATCCATCCCTAAAGCAGAGGGAAACAAGTCTTCCCCCCCCCCACCAACCCCCACCAGTGTCCCTCACCACCTGGTGAGTGCGCTGATTGGGTAATAATTGTAGCCTTGGGGGTACTCCTTTGAGGAAGGACTCTGGAAGTTAGCACTCAATAAATGTTCACTGAGGTTTGTTTTTTTTTTACATCAGTGAAGGCCATCACGTGACGGTCGGTCGGGGGCAACAGGATCAAAAAGAGTCCAACTTATCCAAGATTATGAAGTGTCAGTATTGGGACTATAATTAGAACCCGGGGTCTTTTCACTATATAATTAGAGAAACTTAATAGGTTTGTTTGTTTTGGTCCCGGGCCTGTGAGGTAGTCACAGCTGATAGTTATTGAAAGTTTTCTATGCAGTTACTGTGCCGGACCCTCCAGATTAATAATGGTCGTTGGGTCAGTCTTGGTGTGGGGAAAACTAGGCACAGAAAAATATCTTGGGGCGCCTGGGTGGCTCAGATGGTTAAGCGTCTGCCTTCGGCTCAGGTCACGATCTCAGGGTCCTGGAATCGAGTTCTGCATCGGGCTCCCTACTCCTTGGGAGCCTGCTTCTCCCTCTGCCTCTCTCTCTCTCTGTCTCTCATAAATAAATAAAATCTTAAAAAAAAAAAAATCTTGTCCAAGGTCACAAGCTAACTAGGGATGAACCCTGGATTTCAAACTTAGAGAGTCACCTCCAAAGCTAAAGATCGAACGTCTTGCTGCCTGGGTAAAGAGAGTGTGGCCAGGCAGAAGCGAGAGAGACTGGCCGAGGCTCTGGATGCCTGAGTGTATCCTCGACCTGAGTTGGTGCTGAGAATGGATGTCTGTTTAACTCCTGTGGGCCTCAGTAGAGGCAGCAAGGGGATTTGGGCAGTGTCTGTCCTCCAGCGATCAGAGGAGCTGTTGGAAACCAGGCTGCACTCAGGAGAACCACTTTGCTGCCTGTGGCCAATAAAACCAAAGGTTTTGCCCTTTGCTCCCGGGAAATGGAGATTGGCTGAAGTCAAGGAAGAGTGCGGCCGAGGTGCAGTTGATATAAGGGAATAAGTGGGATCTAGCAGAAGTGTAAGGACAGGGCATCCACACACTTGGCAAGAAAGCACAGTGCCCTTCTCTCTTTCCCTTCTCCCCCGGAGTCCAATCCCTTGGCAGCGCCTTTTTGTATTTGTTGACTGGTTAGTTTCCTGGGTCAGAAGAGGGAGTGCAAGAAATCCCCTGAATATGATCACTGAACGGGAACAGTGCCAAGGAATATGGGGGGAATGTTCTAATACCTGTAAGTCGTAAACCCTTCCTCGTTTTCTCTAAGCATAGAATCAATGTAAAAGCAGCGTCCTACCCTGCCTTCCTTTGTGATTACTGCTCTTGAGCCCCTCCTCGCAGAAATGCTGGAGCTGTCTTTACTCCTCCAGGCAGCAGAATATGTATTCTCAGTGAGGTAGTAATTCCTGCCATTATTTCTTAAGTACTTCTGTGCTCTCAGTATATTAAGTGCTTTATAATCACAATCTCAGTGTATCCTTTACATTCTCCCCTCGCCAAAAAAGACCCCATGAGATGGCTTAATATCATTACCCCCAATTTACAGATGATGACCTTGAGGCTCAGAGTAATTTACCCAGGGAGCACAAGGCTAGAAAGGGGTAGAGACAAGATTTGGACCACTGTCAGTCTGACTCCAAGCTCTTTGCTCATACTGCTTGCTCCTGTCTTTTTCTCCCAACTCCAGCTAATACCTATTCAGCTGATGTTCCAGCATGGAGTGTCTATTTATTGGGCAAATACAAGGCGATGAGTGATAGCTAGTAGTGCAGATGCCTTCTGAATCATCACCCATTAAAGGGTTTATACGCTTAGGGAAGCTTTAAGTGTACTGTACTACCATTTAATCTGTAGGAATTTGATGACCCACAGATGAATAAAGTTAAAATAAAACAAGAATATAAAAATAAGCAGGAGTATTCCATTTGCCTGAATACCCAGTTGTGGCAAACTGGATATTCTGCATTGCATTTCTAAATTAATTTGTTAAAGCCACTTTAATTTACACATAAAACAAAATAAATTTTCACCAGAAGGAATCCCTTTAATTATATTCCTAATTTTTTAAAGATTTTATTTATTTATTTTTGAGAGCTAGAGAGAGATCAAGCATGCACACGCACAAGCCAGGGTGGAGGGAGGGGCAGAGGATGAAGCCGACTTCCCCCTGAGCAGGGAGCCCAACGCAGGACTCGGTTCCAGGACCCTGAGATCATGACCTGAGCCGAAGGCAGACGCTTAACCAGCTGAGTCACCCAGGCGCCCATTATATTCCAAATTTTAAGGGAATCCTCAGTCTTTTTTAAGATTAATTTATTACTTGGGGGGGGAGGGGCAAAGGGAGAGACGGAGTGAGTCTCAAGCAGACTCCACACTGAGTGCCGAGCCAAACATGGGGCTCGATCTTACGACCCACAAGATCATGACCTGCGCAAAACCAAGAGTCAGACGCTTAACTGACTATGCCACCCAGGTGGCCCCCTCACAGTCTTTTTATAACAGTTGTATCAATCACAACAAATCAGCGAGGTAATTATCACAAAGCCAGTGAATAAAAACACCTTTTACAAATTTAATGAAAAATTCTATAACAAACATTCCAACAAATGTAGTTGTCTATATCAAACATTCATAACCTGAAGGAAATTATTCAAATAAATCTTTTGACACTATAGGAAAAAAAGTTCCCTGTACCAGATAAAAACAAACTCAGATTTATGACAAGTCTCAGAATATGTATTGCTGTAACTTACAATTCTCATCAACTCTCAAAGGCTAATTCTTAAACCAGTGTTTTACATTCTCAAAAACATTTGCATCCACAGCTTTGTAAAATTTATCTCTAAGAAAAATCGTGGCCTCTGAGTTTAGCTTTAATCAAAGCTAAATCAAAGCAATTTGGGCTTACTGTAATTTATGTCTTCTATAGTCTCTAATCATGCCAGATAAATGGGAGTTTAGTGCACATTTTTCCCATCAAAGGAACCCGAAACAAGTAGGAGATATGACAATAATCTCTTAAATATGCATAACAGAGACTTCCTTACGTACACCCCTGGGGCATAACATCCTTGATCTGCTCTGGAGGTAAGACTATGACACATAACTACTCTCAAATACTTCTTCGCAGGTGGTCTACAAGCATGTACTCCCCGGCCTCTAGAATTATAAAAGCAGTTCTCACTGGAGGTGGGGTTGTGGAAACCCACTTTCTTACAGCTGCTCAAGACACACTTCTGTCCATAAGTCCCCTTAATAAACCATTTCTTGTCAAGCTGAAGTTGTTGGCCTTTTCCTTCAGTCTTTCCTTTGGCCTTTGGAGGTCCCCTTGCATATACCTCCCTCTCATGAAATAACTTCTAATAACAGTAAAGCAGGTCATGTGGACTAGTCACCTGCTGTGGCAAACTAAAAAAGGAAAACTAAACCCAAAAACTGCAAGACATTGAGGCAGTAAGAAGATAATGAAAAATTATCAGATGAAGAGAGAGCAGAAAAACAAAATCCAGTGAATCAAGTCCCGCATTTGGGACCTCTTTTCTGGGAGCTTCCCTGTTCAGGGAAAAGAGACTGAGAAGCTAGCTGAGTGATGCTTTTGATGATGTCACAGACATTAGGACAAAATTTGCAGCTCCAGGCTTGCTTTGGGTCAGGATTCTGAAAAAGCTACATCAGAAGTAAACCAGCCCTTTCCAGGGATGGCAACCCAGCTTCAAGTCATCTGTGTGACTCAGGAAATCTTAACCCCCAGCAATTCATCAAGAAAATTCTGATTCCTGGTGCCCTGGGTGCCTGGTGGAAGCAAATAAAAATCCACATGGAATAAGATAATACCACCCAAGGTCTCAAATTATTTCCATAAACGATTGTTCAAACATAATGTCTGGCACACAATCACAGATACCAGGTGCATGAGGAGATAAGACGCTGGGAAAAAGAGCCAAGAAAAATGATAAACAATAGAAATAGTGATACGGGAGCTCCAGGTATGGCATTATTGGTCATAGATTTGAACATACTTATGCTTATTATGATCAAGGATATAAAAAAGAACATTGGAAATTTGGGCAGAGAACTGGAAAGTATAAAAACTGACAGAATATAGACGAAAAAGAAGCAACTAGAAATTCTAGAACTGAAAAAAACAAAATAATTGAAACCAAGAACTAAATTGATGGATTTGTAGGCAGAGTTACAATAGAGAGAATTTGTAAAATGGAAGACAGGTCAGAAGAAAATATCCAGAATGAAGCATGTAGTGA